GACGTCGTGGTAGTGGATGACACCGTTCTCCGTGGACACGAAGAAGAAGTTCGGGTCGTGAGGATCCCACCGCACATTCTCGACGTCGCTCTCAACGCCCCATCGGGGAGGCTTAGCATCTGGCGCACGCATATCGGCAGCCACCACAGTTCGGTCGTAAGATCCGCTGAGCAGAACGGTAGGCTCATTCGCGTGCCACGCAAGTGAGCACACCTTGTCGGTGTGATAAGTATACGACTTGGCGCACTTTGTCGTGTTGAGATCCCACAGCTTGACCGTCTTGTCGGCAGAGGCTGAAGCCATCAAATTGCGATGCTTGCGGTTTGCAGCCAGCGACAGGACAGCGTCAACGTGGTATTCGTCGTTGGACTTCTTGGACTTCTTCTTCTTCTTCTTTGACTTCTTCTCCTCCTCGTTGCCTCCCTGGCCGAGGATCGCATTGGGATACATGCAGTCGATGGTGTCCAGATCCCACACCTCAATATCGGGGTCCATTGTGCCAACGGCCACAAAGTTACCTGCCGAGTCCTTCTCTACACCTGCCTTGTTGACGGGCATGTCGATCCACTCGACACACAGAGGGATGGCTGGGAGCATAATGTCGTGGTGGACGTAAAGGTTGTCAGCCTCATCCTCGTAAACGAAAACCTCGAGGTGCGCCATCTCGTCTTCCACCTTGGCAGCCACGATAAGATTGTCAGTCGCAAGAATCTGGAGCTCTTCTCGGTCCTCATCCTCCTGTTCCTTGTCGGCATCAATTGTGATGTAGGGGTCGTCCTTATTCGACTCGTAGTATGCCAGCGACTTGATGTTACCAAACATGCCCATACCCTCGCCGTTTCCAGGCACATCCTCGTCGTCGTCGTTGTCGTAGTTTTCCAGATCATATTCTTTTAGGTCATCATCATTAAGGTTGATCCTGAGGCCTTCAGTCAGTCTCTCTCCTCCCTTCTCAGATATTTGTCAGTTACGTACTCTGTCTTCTCGGCTGTTTTGTCTTCATCGATCTTCATCTCCGAGTCCTCTTCATCGTCCGCGGTCTTGTTAGCATTTGTGCCCTTTTGCGCAGCTTCAGCTTCCTCAAGATCCTCTTGGGCGTCGTCCAGCTGGAGCTTGGCAAGCTCCGCTATCCGCTCAAACTCTGCCTCATCTAGGGTATACTTCTGAGGGAAAGGCGCAGCGAAGCCCCTAGGGACCCACTGTGCGGCTGTAATCATGGAAGACATGGTGATTGTCTGGGTATCTTAAATGGTGTTGTGAAAGTCCAGCATGCACCGGTAGGTGGGCGCCCAGATAAATTTCTCCCAAAATTTCTAGTGGGGTTTATCGATAAGAGGTCAACCCATTAGGGGACCTTCGCTATCTAACGTTAGGTGACAGGGGTCCACGAAGATAGTGGAGGGAATGCAAGAAATCTTAGGAATTCAATCCTTTGCCGATGAAAAGCTTTGGGCTACTAGTAACCTTTATATCATGATATTAAGAACTGAGGCAAGCGATAACTATGTCATGATTTATCAAGACATGGCCATGACCCTAAAGTGACGTGCTCTATAGAGCTATAAGTAACCAAGCTTAGGTTAGAATAATAGAAACTCATCCAAGGCGCCGCTTAAAACCCCCTACCGCGTCTCTTTATAACAGGCTTTTTGACCGCGCCTTGTGTTACAAACTTCTTACCGTCTGCCCCTATCTTCTTGCTCTTCTTTTGAGTCCGGTCTTCTTCCATCTGCTTCCTTTCTTCGTCCTTCCGCTTGTCGTCAGCCATCTTGGCCTCAATCTCCATCTTTCGGTTGAATTCTGTTTCAGTGATTCGTTTATCTCGAACCGAATAACCCTTTTCCTTGACTGAGTAGAAGACACCACCGAGGTCTGCAAGCCAATGGGGGTCCACGGCTGTCACTGTCGAAACATAGACCTTGGAAGTAAGGATCAACTCGTGGTAGACGATGTAATCCGGTGGGTGCCCTGCATATAATGCGCTTGTTGGGTGCAGCTGTACACCGAGGTTGGTACGCAGGTTGATATATTCGCCTGAGCCTTTGTATTTGGCTGCTTGGTGGTAGTATCCCGAGCAAATGCACTTGCGGACAATGTCCCAGTCCATCCCACAGCTTGTCAATTCCATCTTTTGCATACGGACAATGTCCAAAAGCTGTTCACGAATTTCCTTCGCTCGCCTCAAAGATTTCGGGTGCAGAAAGTGCTTAACACACCAACCGTCGGAGTAACCGTTGGCCTTCCAATTTGTGTAGACCTGGAGGTATGTCAAATGATCTGACTCATGCACCCAGAATTTCTCGCGGGCAGCATCGGCTTCTTCTTGTCTCTCCTTTGGTCGGTAAAAAACGTTTGGCACGGACAGCATAGAAACAATGGTAATCATCTCTTCACTGCAGCCGTATTCTTCCGCTGTAATGAGAAGCTTGGCCAGCGAGGGATCCATGGGGAAAGCACTCATTTTCCTTCCAAGATCAGTAAGCTCACCGAGATTGTCAAGTGCACCAAGAGCCCATAAGTCAAACATTGACGTTGTAATAGTGTCCTGTGGAGGAGGGTCCATAAAGTCAAAGTCCAAAAGGTCCTTGACACCGAGAGATTTCAACATCAGGACAGTGTTAGCAAGATTCGTACGCTGGATTTCAGGGATAGTCTGTAAGTACAGATCTTCCTTGAACTCCTTTTCTGAGTACAGTCGAAAGGCCTTTCCAGGCCCGGTTCGACCGGCTCGTCCTGAACGTTGCGAAGCGTTGGCCTGCGAGATGGGCGTGATCTGAAGCGTGTCCATACCGATTTTCGGATTGTAGACTTTCATCTTGGAGTAACCAGCGTCCACGACGTATTTGATACCATCGACCGTCAAGCTGGTTTCAGCAATATTGGTGGCAACAATGCATTTTCGGACACCAGGGGCAGCCTTGTCGAAAATCTTGGCTTGCAGATCTGCAGGCATTTGACTGTATATAGGTAAGATACTCAGCTTTGGGGGGTCGTTGAGGGCATCAAGTCGTTTTTGAATAAGCTCGCAAGTTATCTCGATGTCTTCTTGGCCTGTCATGAAAACCAGAATATCGCCAGGGCCCATTGAAACATGTATTGACAACACTTGGTGCACTGCCTGGTCCACATAGTCCTCGACGGGAGACCGATGGAACATGACGTCGACTGGGAAAGTTCGTCCAGGAATGATGAACTCGGGTGCACCACCAAAGAAGTCTGAGAAGCGTTTCGAATTCATGGTAGCGGAAGTGACGATGAGCTTCAGGTCACGACGCCTCTGCAATATCTTCTTGAACAAGCCCATCAGGATATCTGTGTTCAAGGCACGCTCGTGGGCCTCGTCCATGATGACACATGAATATCGATCTAGATCAGGCTCGTTGAGGGATTCTCGCAAGAGAACACCATCAGTCATGTATTTGATGACTGTTTCTTTGCTGGTGCAGTCTTCAAAGCGAATTGCATAACCGACCGTGCTTCCCAACTCAACCTCCATCTCTTCAGCAACACGCTTGGCTACACTCATTGCAGCCACGCGTCGCGGTTGTGTACATCCAATCATGCCGGTCTTTCCATATCCGTCCTCTTGGAGGAACTGTGTCAGCTGTGTCGTCTTGCCAGAACCTGTCTCACCAACACAGATGACAACTTGGTTTTCTCTAATGACACTGAGAAGGTCTTCACGAACTGCAAACGCGGGCAGATACTCCCGTTGCTCCCGTAGCGTCTTGCTCTGGCTGAAGTTACTCGCGCCGTCGGCCTTCTTCATATGTGCGCTGAATTTATTACCCTTGCGCTCACTCGGTTCGGCGTTATCCTCAGCAGGTACTGGTAGTGCAGAATCACCATCTTCCTCTTTTGCACCCATAATATTTCCAAGAGTCGTTCCGGTCATGCTTGTGGCTTCCTTGGCCTGCCGTTGACGTTCTCTCTGCTGCCTTGCTTCCTTCACCACCTTACTACCCTTGCGACTGAAAACCGCCATGTGACTCTGAGGGTCTTTGACGGCTGGAATTGGTTCTAGTTGCTTTGTGAAAATAGTCCGTCCGTCCAGAAAGGGTGGCCGTAGATCGTGCACAAGAAGATGAACTCGAATTGACTCGTCATCGTCAACAAAGTCGGATGCCATATCCCGTCTTTGCGCGACGCCTGATTGCAGCATTCGGTTCGTTTCCCAAGCGTCATTCTCTCGGTTCCTCTGGTCTCGTCGCGCGTCGAAACGACTAGTCATCTTTTCGTGTCGGGCGGTTTCCTGTTGCTGTCCTTCCCAGGTGTCATAAGAGGCGAATGGGTTATGGGCTTCGTCTCCAAAGCTGTGGCCGCCAAATTCATCACCTCCGTACCAGTCTCGGTCTAAAGCCTTCGAATCCTCCTCGGTCGGTCCTATACTTCGGGGTGGTGGTGTGGAAGCATAACGCGATTGTGCCCTGTGGGGAGTTGAGGTGCGCGAATCATTCTGAAATCTTTGTCGAGGTGTATCAAGTCGTCTCCTCTTTGGATTTGGGTTATACCCATCGTACTCTCGATCCTCCGCCATTGTGTTGACGTGTAAGTTATCTGTCGATGCTTGGACTTTTTATTGCGACAGGAAACTTAGACCTCAGATAAGGAAGCCGATAATGATCACGTGAATACTGCGATTCAAATGTAAGTAGGATATCTTCCATGTCGACTAAAATGCATGGAGGTATCTCACAAAGAATCAAAAATCATATATTTGTCCAAGAAGTCCTTTAGCGTTACTTGAAATGTACTATAGAATAGGATATATCGGGTCTTATGAGTGTCAATACTTGGACAATCAAGACACAGTAACATGTGAGGCTCGCCTTGATGGAAACCCCTTTCTGTCCACGCTCTGATTGAGTATACGAGTACGTGATATTGCGACACTCCTTCCTGGAAACACAGGCTATAGAGGAACAAACTGATTCATGTATTGGACTTTTATCACAATTTTGTTACATAGGCTTTGTGTCATGTCTCGTTACTGCCAATTCTCAATGAGTAACAACAAAGTCATTCTCGTCCTCGATGATTTGCCGATCTTCCTGGGAGACTCTAACCACGCGAGCGGATCTTGGGCCATTGTCTACATCTTTGAAGAATTTGGATAGGACTTCTTCACTGGCTTGAGCCTCGCCCTCGACCTGTGAAAGCTCTAAATTAGCCAATGTCAACTTGCCGGGGGCTTATATGTACTTTTCCATCCTTCGTGTTTCGACACCATCCCGTCACTCCGCACTCTTGGGCCTTCTTCTGAGTAAAATAACTGTTATGCATCAGATGCGATGTCTCGAGATTTGTTATCGCAGAGAACCATACCGGAAACCAACACCTAGATGACGTCAGTTCGAGTGAATACTACCTTAGTACATAGTATGATAGAAATAGATATACCTTGGACACGTCCCTCAACGGCAAAATAGACCTTTTGAAAGATTAGCTCTGGCTTTATAATCGTTGTGGAAGATGGCTCACACGTTTCGACATATTGGCAAGTCACAGTTTAGTCGGTCATGTATACTAAGGTTATTGTAGAATAAAAGTCAAGCTTGAAACGAGGAGGGTTGGAGAAAAGCTAGAGCTTCTTAGCAATTGGAGATAAATATGGAAACACAATAATTTCCATCGCCTGCGAGATATGACCTAACCTTTATGTCAACTGCTTGCTATCTAGCGGATATGTTGGGTTTAATAGATGGCTTACAAGGTGGAAAGAAGGTGCATGGGCGCTGAGTTTAGGTTGATGTTGATAAGATAAGCTTTGGATCTCACTGATGTCACTTATCAACTTCGTGCGCTTCCACTGACTAAACCAACACCTTTATCCCTTGTTTGCGCCGCGAAGACATCACTTGTTAACATCACTTGTTACAAGGCCCGCTCGCAGAACACATCGAAATATTGATGGAAGTCCACTCCTCGGAGCCGGCTACAGAGCCAATCCGATTCCGCACTGGCAAAAAACGAAAAGCCTATCGCCAACGCGTCCAGGAAGATGACGCCTCTGTCGCAGAAACAATACAATCGCATCCCACTGCGTCTGCTTCAGAACCCAGTCATGAACTCTCCCGAAACGCTTCACCAGATCGCGCCCAAGATGAAGAAGAATCTGTTGTTGCTGCACTCAAGTTGCGCAATGCGCGTAGAGCCCGACTTGGAGGTGTCGCATTTCGAAACACAAACCGACCAGACGACGATATAAACAACGAGCGTGCTCTCATTCCACATGACGCAGATGGTACTTCGAATAACGAACCCATCGTGAAAGGAGTTGCAGATAGATTTACTCACCAGACGGGCAGGCTTACAGATCTTAATGACAAGCATATGTACGTTGAGAGCCACCGTCTTCGTCATTCTTCCTCACCCTGCAATGGCTAATCATTCAAGGATGGATTACATAGAATCCCGATTATATAATCGCGCGGGCGGAAATACCTCACATAACACTTTATCAGCGTCTACATCAGACCCGGCTCGGCAACCTTCTGCAACAACGGCAACAACAACAAACCATGAGAGTGGACGGGCAGTAATGCAGGGCCAGTTGGTGGAGATCAGTCTCGAAGACCACTCTGCTCGAAGTCAGAACCCTGTTCAGGCAGATAGTGCTACAGATGGCGGACCAAGAGCCAAGAAGCCTAGACTTAGAAAGGATGGCACGCCATGGCGTCCGCGAAACCGTCGAGATAGTGACGCCCTCAAACGAGATCAGATCGTTGACGAGATTCTCCATGAAACAAGACGTATGTCCCTGATGTCCATGTTCCTTGAATTAGCTACTAAATCATTGTTCCTAGTCGACTTATACGAACCGACTCCAGGACAAGACAGCCACACTGCAGTTGCCGATCAGGATGGTGCCGCTGATGCGCGGCTCGCCGAAGAGTTCCGGCAGCAATTCCTTGAGGATGTAGCAGAACGACAGCTTCGCAAAAAGAAGGCAACGAACCAAACCACGCGCCCCGGTACCGAGGAAGTACTCAAAGGCCCCAAACTCGGTGGCAGCCGTAACGCTAGAGCTCAGATGAGAGATCTTTTGTTAAAGAAAGAGAAGGAAGGAAAGAAATAGTATGGACCGTTGAGCTATATACGGCCTCTTTTCATCTGTGGCGTTGGATGGTTCTGGTTTTGCAGCTCTTTTGTATCAGTTAAGGATTCACACACATGGATCGCATCACCTTATGATCACAAAGATGTTCAATTATAAACGACATCTTAATCTTGTAAGCGTAACCATAACAATTCCGTTGAACACTTGAAATTCATATTCATATTGACTACTTAGTCTGTAACGATCGATAATGGTGGGGGCATTTTGATCCAACGATCTGACCCATGTGAAGAAAGTAGTCCTAAAAAGAAAATCTCAATGATAAGCTCCGGACATCCAAGTCTGTGTAGTCGCAAGAAGACGGCCAATGAAATAAGAAAAAGCACTTAGCAAAAACTCCTTTACCCAGGTCCCATATATAGCAATTTTCCCAAGTGTACAGGGCAAGGCCCAACATTGAAATGAATGAACATTCAGTCGCTTGGCACAACAGGTATCGATCCAGTGCCGTAATTCGCCTTCCGTCTTGCTCATGTGCAAGATCATTTGACTTCCGTCATTTGCCAGAACGCCAAACCCAATGTAATGTTAACCGTCAGAGAACCCCATGCGTGAAATCTTGACCGTTGCAATGGAATGTGGGTTCCGGAAAACCCTTTATCTAATGTCGAGCTGGAAAGGCTTGAACCGCCCGCCAATTGTAGCACAGCGGGGACACTTCCTTCTTGCTCCATGCTCTGTCATGAGAACCTCCACACAAGTTGGGCACAGGCCACAGATACATTCGGTACATGCATACGAATCCTTGAGTAGAGAGAATCCCTGACAGGCAGCGCAGTATATCTGAATATTCTGGGCCGAATATGTTGGTGACGAATCAGAAAGCCCCCGGGTTCCCATATGAAAGTTGTCGCCGCTTTCACCACTCTCTACAGATGGAAATGGCTCTACAGCATCCTGACCATATGATGGAGGCGTGAGTGCCTGCTGAAGAGGCGAAGCCTGATAACTGGCCGGCTGGAACTGAGGTTGGTGGGAAAATGGCGGTAACGATGATCTATGCATTGAAACAGGAGACTGAGGGACCTGAGAGCCTGTTAGTCAATTCAACAGTGCAAGGGCGAATACCATCAGTAGGTGCACATACAGGAGTACGGTCTTCGTCAATATCGCCAGCAGCAGAAGCAGCTTGATCAGCTGCATCGATAAGATCTTCCCACCGTTTCCCGAAGTCTGCGGATGGTTCTGCTGACAAAGCCTTCCGATCATTACCTGGTCTATATCGCTCTTCATTTTGAATTCGGCGTAGCCAGTCAGTTGCAGAACCTTTAGAGTTCTTCTTTTTATGGTGAGGCTCTCTTCCTCGCTTTGTAACAGACTGCTTGCGAGGTCGGTTAGGTCCCACAGAACGCTGAAGAGGTGGGAGTGTTGAGGATCTTCCAGGTGGTGAGTTTGCCAGAATGGAAGGGAGAAAGTCGCGCTGTCTATTAGATTTGGCAGATGAATAAGGGTCGCTAGTAATATCATGATTGGAAAGATTGAGAGGCGGCAGTTCGATGGATGTCCGTGGCCTACGTCGAACATCCATGTCTGAATAATATTCCTACGCATCATTAGCCCTGGATGGCGATGATTTGAATTCTTTTAAGGGCATTTCACTCACACCGTCCAAATCCATGTCGCGTTCACTCTTGACGCCATGAAGTTCGGCTAGGGCAGCAGCGGCACTGGCTGTGCCAAGCATTGGGCCAGAAACCGGCCCGCCATTACTGAAATCATCTAGAAGGCGCGGAGTGCCTGGATTACTCGATTCGTCGCGATGATAGTTGTGTCGCTCGTGAAAGCCTTGAAGGTGGTCAATGGGCGGGGGCAGGCTGGAATGAGAGCGGGACAAACCCTGAGCATTTGGAGCTGAGGTCTGATCTAAAGGGCGTCGCTCCGATGGTGGAGTGTTAATCATCAACAAGAAGCTCTCTTCTGTGGCTGGAAGCTTCGAGATGTAATGCTCGGGGTGTGCGCGGCGGATATGCTCCTGCATGGAACGATATCTTTTTTCCTGCAATTGGACATTTAGAATCGAATGGGTACCGTTGCATGGTGTTACGGGAACGTGCTTCCTCAGTTGAGGAACAAGTGCGGTAGGTGGTAAGACATGACGATGTAAGGTGGGTGGGTGCAGCAATGGTAATTCAGGACCAGCTGCAGGGCAAGACAGGGCAGAACAGCTAACGAAGGCAATACCCAAGGACTTACACCAATGCATCTCTTGCGACAGCTGGAGCCATCCTGGTTGCGAAGAGGGCAGACTACCTCATTGTTGGAGTCTGTGATAGAGAAGGACGACGTCAAAGATGATCGAGGCGGCATCTTGACCCCACCATATGTGATGGCTTGCTGGCGGGGGTGTACTATAGCGATAAGAGACTGAGAAGCGAGATAAGAGATGATAGCGATGAAGCTCAGCTTTCAACGAGAAGATCAATTGGTGACAATGAAGGTATGCAAAAACCGTAACATTTCAAAGTGCAGCTCATGGACAATGGAATGAGCTGCCTTTGAGCATGGGCAAGCTTTGCTACAGGGACCGTTTCGAAATTGGGCCAATTATGCGACAGTGGTTGCGTACACGATTGGGGCGTCGATTGAGGTGGTGATGGAGGCAGTTGCTAGTAAAGCGATGAATCGAATCTCTGGTTAAGAATATCGATAACCGTATGTTGAAGAATCTAAGTTGGAAGAGACGCGAACAGAAATATTCGATCGAGAAGGTCGCTTCTTTGAGAAAAGGTGGGTTGCAAAGAAGGATGTATGGAAGGGAAGGAGGGTGAGTGGGAGGAAGAAAGTAGAGGTAGGTAGGTGCAGGTAAGTAAAGATGACAGGAGCTTGGGAGGTCGAAAAAAAGAAGAGACGGAAGAAGGTGGGAGGCAAAGACGCCTTTTGGGTAAAGCGTGTGAGTGAGTAATAAGAGCAACAACGCAATGGGTAGCGAAGAAGGTAACGGCCAGAGAGAGGCAAGAGGAGGGTGTGAGTCGTTGAGTGTGTGTGGTGTGCGGTGCTGCCGAGGGAAGCTGAGCTCGATGATCTGGATGAGAGCTTTGGCCGACCTTGGACCTAGGCAAGTAGGTAGGTAGGCATTGAATGTGCTTTGCTCACATATCACCAGCACCAGCATCCAGATATTGGCGACAACTGCACAAATACCTAATACTACAAAGAAGCTCACAAAAAGGTGAGCGCAAGGAAAATATCGAGGGCTTGAAAAAATTACCAACAACTAGGTACCTAAAGGCAAAAAAACTCTGGTGGCAGAGGGCGTGTGGGCAACAGAATCAAGGCCAGTAGCGAAAGATTCCGCGCAAACAAGACTCTCTGTCTGGTTTAATGTCCATCCATTCATTGCTCACTCGACAAGGGACCACAGCCTGAGCTCTGGGCTCCTCCTCCGGCTGCCGTGCCATTGCTTGCAAAGCCATGCCTTGCGCTTCGCCTCCACTGTTGGAGATCTCAGCTGCCTCGAACGACTTGATCTCTGGGGCCAATAGTATTGACGCACAGTTCTGGGGTGCGGCTACAAGAAGCTGTCTAACAGCCTTCTAGGCCTATCAGGAAAACAACAAAAAAACTTCTCCAGCTTCCATTTCATCCTTCCATGAGCTCTGTATGGCCACAGCAAGACATGGTAAAGGTCCTGTGGCTCCTTGAGCAAGCTGACGAAGCTTCGATCTTGCAGACTCTCAAACTCTGTAGCTACACAGTCATTCCCAAAAAAGATTCTCCAAGCGTCTGTAACATCCAGTAGCGAAGCACAGCTTCCAAGCAGAAGCATCAGCAGCTCACCAGAGCATGGCCCAAGCGCTGCGCGAACAAATCAACTGGCTACCATTGCAATGACTCGAGAGGGGCTACAGGGGTGAAGGCAGTGAGAAGAGGGGGGTGGCCGGCGTGGAGCTCTTCTCTGGACGGATTGAGGTCAAGAACCCAGGCCCTTGAACCAAAGAATGCCGCCTGTGAAAGGTGCAGAAGCTCCCTAGAACGTGCAGGGGAAGCTCCAATAGTGGAACTGGTCCCTTGCTCAGGTTTGTTGAAGATCTTTTCTTTTTACTGGTAGTAGTGCTGATAAAGTTGTTACATTATGGCATGAATACATACATACAGAGGTTCCCGCCTCTCTGCAACACGTCCTTCTCATCACTACCAATCATATTCTCTGTCTTAAGCTTCTTTTTGTTTTTATCGGCTTCAGCAATTATCCGGCTGCGACAGATCCTAATCAATGTCGCAAGAAAAAGGCCGGCGTCTGAAGGGTTGGCCATGTCAAACATGACCAGGGTCGGCGGGGCCGAAGCCCATGGCCAACTGCCACTCACAGATACCGTTCCTAAGCCAACTCCGGACGTGGTTATCACATGTACATGATAGGTACCTCTGCATGACTCTCGCCACGGCTATGGCCACGGGACCTCGACTACACAGAACGGTCGTCACTACCCAGCTGGAGCTCCAGCCTTCACCTACGCCAGCTACTAATCCAGAGCTAGAACTGCGAATGTTGATGTGGCGTTTGAGATTCGGCGATACGCAGGCGTGGGCGTCAACAGAGTCAGCATCGGAGTCGTCGACGCCAGCCAAAATTTCACAAACCTCGCTTTGGCTTCAGGGGTATCCCATCTGCGCCTCAAGGAGCATATTTTCTTCCAAGAAGAGCTGGTAACTGACAAAATGAGGTTGAGAATGCAGGCTGCAACCTGCAAAGGACCCAATGATATACGGACAATTGAGAGCCGATCGTTGACTCAGCTTCAGAGACGATGGAGAATTAAACGCCTGCAAGCCCTGTCACCACGCTCCCGGGTCTTTTGAGACGGTGACATCACCAGCCAGGGGATACCGCCCGTCGCCCTACAGCACGGAACCGGCGGGCGTGCGCAGCCAGTCCGTTAATACAGGGTCTTTTGACCTCGACGGAATTGCTCGACTCAGACTAACCAACGCGCGCTATGCCATTCACATCTACTTGGAAGGCGGTGAATTCTGATGTCTGAAACACCCAAGCTTTGTCACCTGGCCGCGAAAACGGAAGAATGGGCAGGTTGTAGCTTTCATCTGCTGGATCAATCGAAGGTGCATCAACAGGCTCGAAATAGGCCTACTCCGAAGCAAGACAGCGTCGCGAGGGCTCAATACGATAGCTCAGACAACCAACCAGCGTTGCAGAACTCGAGGTCGATAAGTCCGGTTCTATTTGCCAGACCCTGTGAAGGCGGTGACCCCGCGCCATAACAGCAACAATCGTTAATAGAACCTCCGAATGTGCATTTACGTTGATCAAATACAGAAAAATACTTAGCCCAGGCCTTTGATTGACCTAATAACAGCAGTTGCTTGGATGGCGGAATTGAATTGATATCCTACACGACAGTTTCCAAGTCGACAGCTCCGTGGGTATGGGACAGGTCGAGAGCTGGTAACTCTAGCTCTGTCAAGGGGTGAACATATCCATGTGGGGGCTGACTTCTTAAGCGGACTGCTCAACCTACAAGAGCAATTGAGCTTTCAGTTCTGTGCATGCTATAAGCGGTAACACAAAGATCCAAGGCACGCCGGGTACTGTGACCATAGCACTGGAACCTTCTTTGCAGCACACGGCCTACTCTTTACACGAACTGCGACGGCCAAGCGCTGTAAAGAATACATTCCTTGCTTGGTTGCAACCCTTGAGTGTAAGGTTGGGTCAAGTCAGGCTGGTCCCATGACTGTCAAAAAGAGTAACAACCTTGGAACAGGTATATACATCCATGTCAACAGAGTCAACAAAGGACTCGAGGAAACTTGCGCTTATCGGCTAAGAACTTTACCTATGGGTGTATTGGACAAATATAATTACCGCGGTAGCCACAGCCTGTTCCCGGCTCTACCAGTATGCGAAATAGCTTGGCTGATGTTAACCGACCCTGTTTTGTGTCTAAGCCATACACTCAGATCTACCGGTACACACTTCAAAGTTTACCAGCATCGAGTCTCGACAACAAAGGACACCTCCGCCTGGCTTACCGTTCTTAGTCAATTAACTTGATCCCGATTACCGAGGCTTCGCCAGTAGCACAGCCTTGATATATCTAGTTGATTTGGAATACAAACACGTTCTCAAACACGGTTTTTACTCCACTCAAGCGATCACACTTTGACAGCCGAGAATATTCAAGTCGCATTCGCAATGGCCAGGAGCGGTTTCATTATATCATGCAACTCGCTCGTTGTCATAGGATGGTATCAGAGAACAAGGACAACTGGGCGAGGAAAACTAATAACAAGATAGACAATACCGTATTTGCAAATCGGTAACCATGACTGTTTCTGAGAAAGTCTTGAATCTCAGGGTGGTAGTTCTTAACATTCTCCCAGTCTTCCCGATGGCGAAGCAAGATGACGATCAATGACTTGGGGGCAGCACTGAGGCAGTAAAGTGTAGGTGCTCACAGTTGAACTCTGGTATTTGGAATATATCTGACAACTCGTGACGTCCTTTGCCATGCCATTCTGGTTGAGATATCTATCATATCGTTTGGAATACCTGGAAGAACTACTTCGTATATAATGTCATCGTAGATTCATCTCTGCTAATCAAGTCTAAGCAACAAAAAGAATAACTTCTTTGCTAGGCCAAGCCTTCAGCGTTAACGAGTGTCACTTGGCGCTCATCATACAAGCCGAAACATTTGCCTTTGTTCGGTTGAGCTGGGTTTAAGCTATTGAGAAGCCTAGGCGGCGCGCCAACCTTGTGCTTTGAGACATGGTTTCGCATGGAATAGCAGTGGTCATAAAGAAACATGCTAAGCAATATAATTCATGTTTGATGTTAAGGTAAGTTTCGGTCTCTAAGCCAGGATCCGGAGACTCGACCTAGGGTATCTTTTGTTCATGCTATCACATCTTAACACCTCCCCGACCGCCCAGCCTGGGCTATATCTGTTGTAAATTCCACTCCAACATATATGCATGGCCTTTCCCTTCCCTTGGGATGCAAAAATCAAACCCAAATGGCGGCTAGAGATCTCAACGTTTAGTTTAGCTCCGGTGCTGGCTTCCGACATTTAGTAGTTCAGCATTTACGCTTTTATGCCGCCTACTTGAGCTGCTTAAGGATTTCCGTCAAGAAATCCTCAAAGCTCAGGGTGATGTAGCCGTCGCGATCGTCGTCATACTTCTTGAACACGTCTGTCATGCGTTTCAGGGAGATACAGCTTTGAACAAAGAGATCGAAGCTCATGACTCCCTCGTTCCTCTTATCATAGGTGTTGAAGAGTAACTCAACAAACTGGGGGCTTAGTCGGTATCGGAAGGCGACAAGTGCGTTGTTGAATTCGGATAGAGAGATGTTGCCGCTGCGGTCGGCGTCGAATCGGTCGAATAGAGTCCTCCATGAAGCCAAGAAGGACCATAGCCCGCAAAACTCCTCAAAACCAATGGTGCCACTTCGATCGGAGTCGAACATTCGGATCATCATGCGGACGGTGTGAGGATCAAATGCGGTCCAGTCTCCGTTGACAAGGGCGGCAGAAAGTTCCCTCTCGGAAAGGTGGCCGGTGCCTAACCGGGGAGAAGTCAGCAGCTGCTATGAACGTTGTCGATGTGCCGTGCATGTTTGTGACGGATTCTTGAATCGGAAGAACCTACCATCTTTGTCTACGGCGCGGAAAAGGGGCAAAAGTGAAGGGTCTGAACCACTGCCATCGATACCAGGCGAGGGAGGAGGTCGTGAGTTGGGAGCAGGGCGGTTATGAGCCTGTGGCCTGGCACCACCAGGGTTTGGAGGCGGCGACATGTGGCCATAAGCGCCTTGGCCTAGGGAATGGGATCGCGCATCTCGTTGAGCAGGTAGAGGCTTGTCGTATCGAGGCTGTTGGTGGTGATACTGCTGTTGAGGGGCATATTGCTGCTGCTGCTGGTGGTGCTGCTGAGGAGGAGGGTGCTGTTGCGGGGCAGGTGTCCTTGACTGTCCTGGTTTCTGAAGGGCGCAGTGTCAGTTTGAGTTCTCGACGTTATAATAACGTTAACGGTGCGTATATTTCAAACATACAGGCTCTGGCTCAGCGAACCTGTGTAAGTTACATGGTCAGCTTTGTGTTGCATCGTGACGTGTGTCAACCCATAGCTTCAAGCCGCAATCGCTGAGCCGCAATGGACAAATACGCGGGGAGACGAGGGGCAGTTTGGCTGAGGCATGGGACATACCTTGGGAGAGCATCCTCGTCGTAGGGGCGGTTATAGGCCATGATGAGCACGGGGTTTGGGTATTCTTTCCCAGTTCCAATTCAGAAGAAAAGAGAGGCTTATGAAGAAGTCGGGACAGAGAAAGGAGATGATGCGTGTGAAGGGGGTTTTGAAGGGTTGGGCTGAGTTGGTTTGGTGCGCGGCTGAAGAAGTAACTGGAAGGCCGCCCAGTTAATTAGTAGTTGTCCTACTTGGCCTACGTACCTTGTTAGTCTAAGGTATGTGACTGCACTACCTTACCTACAGTGATTGACCCCAGGCCAGGGGAATCTCCAGCGCGGGGCAGTGTCGTTTGGTTGGTGGAGCGCAGGGTGAGAACAGAGCACAAGAGCGTGGCTGAGTTGGTCTTGATAGTGGGAATGTTTGGGTAAGACAAGATTCGGATTTTTTTGTCCTCACTTCTTATGACTCAACCGAGTAAATTGACTGCTATTTCAATAAAATGATTGTTCACTTGTAAAGCAAGCACAGGTTTCAGAGTTCAGCCTAGCTGAAGAAGATGTCATTGACGATGATGGAAAACACTCAGTATTCCTAGACTCGATGCATATCATCCCTCGTTATCGGGTATAAAATGCCGTGGCCTTATCTGATATGGGACAGGGAAGATAGCCATGAGACTAGCGCTGGGATCAAAAAGCCTGACTTGCTCCTTGTCCTTCCGCGCCAAGGCGTCGGGACCCTTTATTTCTACGGAGTACCTAGGTAGGTAGAGAACCGCGTATACTAGGTACGGTACGTACGAATAGTCAATTCACTAACCTTAAGGTACTGTACGGGCACATGAACCGCATATAGTCCTGGAGGCTTTAGCAGAGACAGGAGGTGTGCTCACCGGAGAGCTAAAATTAGATATCAGCATCGAAGATCATAGGGCCTCACTTTCATTTTCGGGGTCTGATATCTAGATGGGACAGTCCAGATGAAGAAAGGACCCTTCCCTTGGGTAAGGTTCTCGAACACGGCAACAGCGGTCCCGTCCGTTATGTGGGCCACCAGGTCCAATGACGTCGATGCGAAAAAGGGAGTAATCAGCCACTTTTGGACCCGAGAAAAGCCTCAGCCACTAGAATCGAGCATCTCAGTGGAGGCGCGGAGTTGACGGGTGCATCTTGGAGGGGAGGGGAAGGGGAAGGAGAAATTTGTTCCATTATTGTTCTATGGTTTTCTCTAACCCCTGCTTACAAGCCTCCTCTCGTTCTTAGTGGCCATCACCTCATCAGTGGGACAAGACACGATATACCTCCACTAGGTGTGTACGAATTCAATCTAACCTCTATACCTCACGTCGAGTGAGGTTGGATCTTGAGAACCTCCAGATACTCAGCAAGAGTCACTTCCTCAAGACCAATTGTCAGCCGGATCGGATCATCTTGTATACTCTCAAGCCTAGTCAACCAATCTAGACAGTTAACTGCCTACCTACCTAAGTAAGTGGACGTCGTCGACACAGATAAAACTGCATTATTAATGTTCCCAACTTACAGTCCTTTTCACAATGCCCGATCAAGACTCATCACAGCCTTCCGAATTCTGGTTATATGGATACGGGTATGCCGAGACCTTCCTGACAGCATATTCTTATTCCGTAATTAATGCCATTTACAGAAGCTTGATATGGAAGCCTCCGCCACACTTTGGTAAATCACCATTGCCTGTCTTGCACGTTCAGCGGCCTTTCAACTGACACTTGATCTATCCTGTTAGACCGTAGAATTCCTGGATGGGTAGATGGCTATGTTCGTCGTTTCTGGCAGGTAAAACACCATTTTGCCCATATCGTAAATACTTCCACTAACATGCTTTCCAGGCTAGGTATACCTTCAAATAGCCGGAGTGAAACTCTAACTAAAACCGATCACAGTGAGGACCACAGAGGCACTCCTGAGGCCCCCGGGCGTGTCGTCACTTTGATCGAGAGATCTTACTGGGAACAGCTAACTGATAGTCACGACTCTGCTCCAGAGCGAGTTTGGGGGGTTGCATACCGTATCATTCCCGAGAAAGTAACCGAAGTCAAGGAGTATCTCGATATCCGCGAGATCAACGGTTACACCATTCACCACGCTCCATTCCATCCTGCCGATAGCTCTCCCCCTATTCGTACTCTGGTCTACATCGGCACCCCAGATAATGAGCAATTTGTCGGCCCTCAGGACCCCCAGGAGCTCGCCGAGCACATCTTCCGCAGTCAAGGCCCCAGCGGCCTGAACAAAGACTACCTGTTGAGCCTCGATACCGCCCTCAGCGAGCTTGCTCCCGATAGTGGCGATCATCACATCCATGACCTGGCCCGCCGTGTCAGGGAACTTGAGAAGTATTGTGAGGATGAAACTAAACTCCTCAACCCGACGACCTTAGTCCATCAACAAAAGCACAGTACCGAGGAGGCAGAAGAAATAGAAGAGCCACATCACTAGGACACGGACACCTCAACAAGCACATGGAAATAGACTATAGACCCTCATGATGTTTAGCATACTTGTAATGAGCAGCTAGATGCCGCTCCTCAACCTTCATGCCATCTCTCCACAACTGTCACCAAGTTCAGTCCCGGTTAGCCAGCGGAATTCACGTATCAAAGCACATATAATCAAAAGGAACAGGTCGCACGCAGCGCCATTTCGCATTTTTGTTCTTGCCCTACAGAGGCAATCCTCCATCACTTTTTCGCACAAGGTTCATTCGTAAAACGGCCGTGTCAAGATGGCAAACCATACCAGCCCAAATGCCATGCCATGCCCCCTAGAAACCACACTTCAACCTAAGTGCCCCGGGTATAATTCTGCGTTTCAATATGCTCACCAATGCCTGACCTCGTCATCCAGTCGTACAAAGAATCCGCAAGCCCAGGAGCCGGAAGTCATCGAAGTTAACCACCATTGAAATTTCCAATCCTCAAGGCCCCGTCAATAACATTTCGAGCGCAATGTGACGCACTCCACTCCGGCCTTAAGTTACGTCAACTAATATCCCCTTCCACCCTGAGGAGGTTGTTGCTGGGGAGGCATTTGAGAAGGATCAGGGTACCCAAACTGCTGCTGAGGCATGAATCCTATATGTACTTTAGCATTGTTATGGATTGCCTCCACGATTCGTTCTCGGCATACCTTGGGGAGGAGCGCCGTAGGCTTGCTGAGGAGGGGGGTATCCCCGACCATAAGGCATAGGCGCATACATGTTCGGCGCGGGGACTGGGTAGCCGTGTCCAGGCGGAGCCATTCCGTAGGGAGCTGGTCCCCCGAAGCCTCGCCCATACCCACCTCCTCTGCCGAAGCCGCCTCGGGGGCCATTGTCGGATGCCTTGTCAACTCGAATGGTTCGTCCGTCAAACCTGGATAGGATTAGATTCTGTATTGGAATGAGATAGCAGATCCGCCATGAAACAAGGAACAAAAGTGACTCGTACTCGACATTGTTCATGGTTGCGATGGCCTTCTGAGCATCGCCCTCCTGGGTGTATCGCACAAATCCAAAGCCACGGCTGCGGCCGGTATCACGGTCCTTGACCACCACCTTTCCATAACCATCGTTAGAAGTGATCTTATGGTCCCAACAAACACCCGCATCAGAGCCACAGATATATGCAGAACTAAGAGCGCTTTGCTTGAAGGAAAGAAAGGAACAGAGTTACCTACAGCTTCTTCGACAGGGCCGAACTCCTCAAACTTCTGACGCAGAGTAGCTTCCTCTGTGTGCCATGCAAGGCCACTTGAATGGAGTTAGCAGATGGGGCAGCCGCAAGAGAGGCTTGAAACGAACCCAATGAAGAGCTTAGACATATTGGATCGTGGGTTCTAGCTCAGACGTCAGCTTGTGTTCAAGATAGACCACTGAAACAAAGATTGCCACGGTGGTTGTAGATGCGCCGCAGAGGAGCAGGCTCACACAGGACCGAATCCACAGAGCAAACAGAGTCCTCGACAGCCTCCCCGGGATCACGGTCACTAATCTGTGTGATCAAGATGCCGCGCGTCGTTGAGCAGAAAGGCGCGCGCTTATAGGCAACGATTGTGCAGAGTGAGGAGGATAAGAGGGGCACTATGAGATAAAGAGCGCACCTTTATTGCAGCAGATGCCTTTGGTATTGGTGACTGCGTCTTCCACAGACTTGATCTTGTTCTTCAAGAAACTGAGCGCTTGCGCTAATTATCAAAGACAACCAGTTGACGAGTGGTTGAGCTGAGGTGCAGGGAGAGAGATGAAGGTGGAGCTTCAGAACGGGAAGAGGTTGCGGATGTAATGAAGTTAAATCAGAGACAGAGAAAGCCGGGTAACAAACAGGTAAGGTAACTTTAGCTTAGCTTATATTCACTAGACGGCGTGGTCCAAGGCCCAAGGATGGATGAGAGGGGTCCTGAGCATGTAATGTAATAAAATGCGGGCGGAACGTGACTGTTGATGTTATGTATGTATGTACGGAGTATCTATATGTATGTATGCACCCTGCAGGTGCAGCACAATGCAGTGAGCGAGCGAGCTGGAGGCACGGCAGGCACGTTGTTTCTGTAGTCTATCGGCAGCGGCGTTGAATGACGATGCTTGCCAGGGGTGTTTTAGAATATCTCGTCTCGCCCATGTCATGTCTGGCGAGCCATGTTTCGCTGCTCATCGTCAAGGCTTTCTTTTCTTTTCTACAAGACGAGCCAAAAGTCTATCGCCATCGCTCGAGTTGATGGCGCCTGCTTCATTTCCACCATCATTCATAAATTCGAGGCCAAGCTCCCTCCTCGCGTCGATCCCAGGTCCCCCCGGTGGGCACATCCGTGGAGGCAGTGCTGATGAACTGCACCTTACCGTACCGTCACCGCGACAGACGACCAGGGTGTCTGGTCAGGACGTTTCGGACTCGGGTCTGGCAGGGGGAGCTTTCTCCAAACAAGCTTTGGGCGGCAGAAGCAAACACAGGGGGAGTCCAAGTTTGGGTGCAAGGTGCACTACCTAACCCACCACCCTCACCGTGGCCATGAGGGTTTTGGCGGCATCCATCAGCTTCATTCAAGCTCGTGCGGGCCTGTGATGACGACGGTCCTCCACATCCTGTCCAAACTTCTCCCCACAACCGTCAAAGCCAAGCACCGCGCCTAGGCTTAAACCGCATTCTGCCCCTAAGTCAAGCATAACAGTCTGACGATCTTCCCCCTTCTCATCATACTGCCACTCTTCAATTCGCCGCTTGCATAGCCCCCTTCAATCCACTTGAGCCAATATCCCGGTCCTCCTCCGTTAACTCTAGGTTGGCGGTTCGTACGGAGTACCTGTTCTTTGATATATATAGCGGACTGCTTGTTGCAGAATATTTGGCATACGACGTCGTAGTCTGTAACGGGACATTTTCCCGCTTCGACATTATATGCAAAATACCAAGACCATGCAACACGGCCCTATGCTTTTTTAAGGTAGCGTTTCATGCTCTTGGCGATGGCGATGCTCCTTTCAGGGTGTTATACTCAAGCCCCGCCTCACCAAACACCTGTTCCCGACACGTGCTGCCCCTCCTTCTCACTGAGGTGGAGGGTTGATTCAGGGGCCAAGCTAGCATGCCAGCATGGTAGGCTTGCAAGGCTTGCAAGACGTTGAGGAATTCATGCGCAGTCTATTTATTTCCTCGTTTGGTTGTAGAATAAATGAAAATCAGATGTCTGTGTATGTATTAGCCGGCCTTGAATTATTCATCCTAATTTTTCTTCCTTCTTCATGGGCCGATGACTTATACAGAATGTAGTTCCGGGTTCTTGAATTCCTCCGACGAGTACTCCATATGCAGCATGGATCTGAATCTGTGTAAGACAGACACTAATCCCAGACCGTGAAACGTGCAGCGTGTCGAGATTTCGTGTCTTCGTAACGACAAGTACGAAACAAGCCAGTAAGGGTAGGTATGCTGGAGTTTCTCCTGCTCGCACTACCACTTGCTTGAATGTTTCAACAAGGAAATACAGGAAATAGGTATAGGTAACTCTGCTACCTAAGCCAGCCATGACAGCGGCTGCCTTGACAGATATGCAGTAGCGTAGTGAAACGCTAGATTAAGCATCAATGCGATGCTACCTTGGCAGCGGCTTAGTCGATTGAGGTACCAATGCCAAGAAGTACCCTTCGTAAACAAGATCAGGGCCTATCACTTAGATCTGACAGGTAATTCGCATAATAGCTCTTGAATAGGAACCAGAAGCCGCATGGTGGATGTTCCTAGAGTAGAGATTGGGGGAAGCGAGTGTACAAAAGATGCCCAAAAGAGGTGGCAGTCAGGGGAATATATTGGCTTGAGCGACCTCGAAGAACGATCCGTAACGAGAACAGATCAACGATTTCTTAGAACTTCAGAAGAAACGGGCTTTTAGATAGTACTGACCCCAAGCCAGTACTCATATAGGTTGGTTAGTAGGTACCTACTTATCTAAAGTAAGCGGAACGGGCCAAAAGAGGCAGTATGAAAAGCCCATTCTTGAGGTAGGTTACCTAAGGTGTGACGTGCAAGTTTGGGGCAGCGATAGCACCTACCTTTTTCAATATCCAGACTCGTTTCGCGGAAGGCGCTGAGCTCGTATCATGTTTATCTTGGGTGTGCAAACTAACACCCCGTAACGATATCCTCCCCTCAACTTTTGATCCCCTGCAAATGCATTTGAGTGACGCGCAAGAGACTTGCAGGCTGTGCTCTCCGAAGCTTGGCCTAGATGATACCTCATCGCAATCGCCATCATTCGAATGGCCAATATGAGATCCGGCACAGGATCTCAGCAAGTCCAGAATTTTACTCCCTAGATGTCGAATCGAGCAGACTTGACACAGTTCATGCTTGGCTGAGCCAGGTTCATGATTATGCAAGTCACAAGGATCCGGAACCGCAGTTCGCGCAAGACTTGGACGGCGATTACACACCAAACTGGAAGCCAAACTGGAAGCCTCACGATCTTTCTGCTGTGCCGATATCTCGGAATTATCACCAGTCTCGTCATTCAGGAAACCGAGCCTTCGATCAACGACCCACTTCCCCAAAATCCGATTTACTTGAACGCGACACATACTCAGAATCGCAACATGAGCCCTCTCTTGACATAGGGTCTGACAAAGAGAACGGGAAGAGATCTCGTTCACGCTTTAAGCAGGACTGTCACAAAGAAAGATCTAACAAAACGTTGTTCGAGAGACAGCCAAGAAGGAAAACACGCCCAGACCGGTATACTTTCAAAGACACGGGGGGTAAGAGGGATCACACGACCGAGAGCGAAGAAGAGAGGCCAAGAAAAAAGTCACGCTCAAATAAGCAAGAGATTAGAGTGAGTCGAGATATTATGAACAATTTTGCATCTGGCGCCATCCCAAACACAAGAGTGACGGTAGGTGGTGAAGCAAAATCGAGCGGATTTCCATACCGAGTAAACTAATGCTCGTGTATTTTGTCAGATGAGGCCTAATCTTACTGCTGGACTGTTCCTGAACGGTCGATCCTCAACATACGGACGAGGTACGCTACTTCTCGGACTCGATTTAGTCTTTTCTCACCATAACATAGGGGCTGACATTACACTCGACGATATGACCTTTATTGAAACATGCGGTGGAAAAGGAAAACCAGACGAGATTCCCCAACATAGTACAAGTGAGAACTCGAACGGCCAAGATGATGTTTCAAATAGTGACCATACTTCACGGAGCGCCACGGAACTCCCCATAACCACAACAAATGATGAAGAGGGAGAAGTACAAAGCCTCGCGGATGATATCTTTCAGGGAAATCAACAGAACAATAGTCAAAAGGATGGGTTTCAGGCTCATGGCGCCTCTGTACGGTCGACAAAAACCACTCAAACATCCGACTACGAGACCCCTGAAGCGATGCTCAAGAGGCTTATCGAGACAGGCATCTTCGATGGCACAGGTTTTTTGGAAACAACTTCCCATAGGACTATGGAGCCAAATATTGAACATCGCGATTGCCTTGGCATGAATGGTACAAAACAATCAAGCAAGAACCGGACATATCAGGACAAGGGGGTAATGGCCGACCGCAGCAGGCAGTCAACTCTCGAACCAAACATACAAGCTGCCACAAAGAATACACAATTTCATCTAAATGGCGGTGCAAAAAGTGCACCAGTGCCAACCAAAGCACCGTGCTCCCAATATGAACAAGAATTGCCAGTTCCGATTGGCAGCACCCCTCCACAAGTTCAGCCTTCAATTCTACCAACATCGGTAGTTGAAAATAATACATACAGTATTCCTGAGGAACCATGCGTCAAACAACCCCAAGGTACGAAGAATATCTCTACTGCTAATAATCGGGGTCACCCGCTTTCTCGAATCTCAGAAAGGGGCCATCGTTATAACGAGCAAAACGATTGGCCAGGGCTTATGTTTCCAAGCTTCATAGTGGAGGGTTTCAATGGTGAGCACTCATACCACCAAGGCTCGACAGAAGAAAATGAACCCCAGTTAGAGGGCTCGTTCGTTCACCGAGGACTGCAGTCCCATGACATCATGATACCAGTTTCAGGGTCTCCAGGCTTTCAACAAGCACGCCGACCACTTAATGGGCATATTAGTAGTGCAGGACTCGATTCGGCCGTCTTCCCAACAGTGCACTCAGATATCTACTCGGACCACCGAGACATACAGCATCATGGTAGGCAACTTACACAACCAGACTACTGCGAAGACAGTGAGACAATTCAAGAATTCATTAAGCGAATCGAAGGCGAGGTAAGTATGAAGTGGGACAACTCGCAGCAGTCTGTTGGTGTTGGCTGCATTAGCGATATAGAGGAATGTGCCAAAAGCGAGTCGTTCGAAATGGACAACAGCGAAGATTTGTCACAATGCAGCGATATAGATCATGATGGGGCAATCCAACAGAGCTTACACGACATATTCTCAAGCTTTGATCAAGGGTCTATATCGACGAATCAGGTTATGGCAGAAGATTGGGAACACTCAGGTTATGAACAAAGTCGATACTGGACAGGAAAATATCACGGTGAGCATGGGGTCTCTGAGGCGAAAATGGTTGGTTTCTGGAGGCCTAATCACTTTTAGGCTGATGTACTCTTGTCTTGAATCTTTGGTATAGCGGTACGTAGCTGGGTTAGGATTCATTACTCAGGCTCTTGATCCTTCCATTTGTTTCTTAAGGACTGAACATCAATGCCACACTGTTCTGCTTTGACAATGACAGCACCAGCTTTGCCAACAACGGGGGCATCAATCATTTTACCATCTAGGGTCCAGGCGCCTCGACCGGACGCCGAAGCCTTCTCATCAGCGATGGAGATCCTAATAGCCCATTCAACCTCCTTCTTATCCGGAGCGAACATACGCTGGACGACTTCGACCTGGCTTGGGTGTATGCACTGCTTTCCGTTGAAGCCAATGGATTTTCCTCCAGCACACTCCTCCTCGAGAGTTTTTAGCCCCTGCTCTCCCTTATAGGAGGTGCAAACTAGATCAATTGCACTTGGCAATCCGGCTGCCCGGGCTGCGGTGACTATGGCAGATCTGGCGTAGAGAAACTCGGTCAGAGACGGGGTTCTTGTCAGCGAGAGATCAAGGGCGAAATCCTCGGCTGCGAAGATGAAGCCACTCAGGTAGGGAGATGACTTTGATATCTGGGCCAAGTCCATGATGGAGCGAGCTGACTCGATAAGAGCTATTATCTTTATTGGGTTATCTGCCTCGGCAGTGTGGCGTTCTGGAGCGACATGTCGGAGAACATCAGTAACAAAGGTCAGGTCAGCCGCAGAATTGACTTTGGGAACCACGACAGCGTCAACATGAGACAGTGGCGCGAGTGTGGTCAAGTCTGAGAGAGCAAAGGGGGTGGAAACAGCGTTGATGCGAACGGCCAGCTCAGAAATGCCAGAAGGCCGAGCTTTGAGGTTGGAGATGTGCTCGCGCAGTTGATTGCGGGCTGTGTCTTTGAGAGAGGGTGTAACCGAGTCTTCCAAGTCATAAGTTACGTTGTCTGATTTGAGACCGAGAGACTTGGTGAGCATCTTTTGCGATGAGCCTGGCACTGAGGGGGGAGGGGGGGTCAGTCTGGGCATTCAATGATGAGTGAGGAGTCCTGCTTTACCATAGAGCAAAGAGCGGCGGATAATGGATGGAGACCGGGCAGCCATATCGTGGGATTTCACGGGTTATCAGATACGAGCACAAATATTTGTCAATTGCGCATATGAGCTGCGCTTGTAGATGATCAGTAGCTAGGTATATCCTGAAAGACCGAGGTCCCTTAGGCTATCACGACTTATACGCCGAGAAGGTCGGGCCCACCCACGGCAGCTCATGACGTCCTACCGTGTTAGACAGAATCTGCCAATTCCCACCGCCTGCCTAAACCAATGACAGGGGATTTTGCTGTCGCGGATCATGCTCCATCCCTTGCGCGGCTTGATAGAAGGCCAGCTTACACAAGGTACCTTACCTAGCTTCAAAGCTCCACGTTTTGTTACATTGTCACCTACGACCCCTTCGCCAACTACATACGACAATCTTTCTCAACGAATCGAATCGAGTCGAATACGAACAGTGTCTTAACGAAAAGTATAGATATCACGAACTACCTATTCTCCATCCAATACGTCGACTTGTTAGCTATCATGGATGCCACGCAACCACAGCCCGCGCCGGGCAGTCTTAGCTGGCGCCTCAGCGCGCATCCCATTACGCTGCTCACGTTTCTGGGATTCCGGATATGTGCGCCTCTCACGGCATTTCCTTTGGAGCGCAATTGCTAATGTCCTGCAGCAAGTGTCCTGATCTACTTTCTCGGTCTGTGGATCATAAAAAGCATGTGCGTATCCTCCCTCGGGCCTCTTGAGCCGCGCAGAGCACTGATTTTCTTGGTAGGATCATGATCTTCATCATCACGATTCTCCTCCTGGCCGCCGACTTCTACTACATCAAAAACATTGCCGGCCGTCGCCTTGTAGGTCTGCGCTGGTGGAATGAGGTCGATCCCCAGACGGGAGAGTCGCAGTGGGTATTTGAGAGCAGCGAGCCAGGTACCAAGACTGTCAACCCGACTGATAGCCGCTTTTTCTGGCTCGCTCTGTATATCCAGCCTATGTTGTGGGTTCTCATGGCTATTCTTGCTCTTGTGCGACTGCAGTTCTTGTGGTTGCCCCTCGTTGGTACGTTGGATAGAATACCCCTGGAGTCTGTGATTCAGATACAAAGAGCACGCTTCGTATCTATGCCGGATTCAGTGCCACTAACTCTCGGAACTAGTTATTGCTCTTGTCCTCACCATCATGAACACTCTAGCCTTCTCGCGATGTGACAAGTTCAGCAACGCTTCCAGCATCGCTGGTAGCGCTTTTGGAACGGGCAACCTAGCCGGAAGCCTCGCAAGCAACATGGTCAGCAACTGGTTTTCTCGCAGCTAGAAAGAAAAAAAAAAGCAAAGAGTGGGCTTCGAATGGATGAGGCTGAGCGAATCTCGACTCCGTCACTCCATTAACTGGACGAAAAAGGGGGAACCTGGCCTGTGTTTTGTGTCAGGGCTTTGCAAGGAAGACATTGATGTCGGTATGAGTCGTTGAAGTTGTAAATTAAAATCACAGGGTTTATTAATCACCGTTTGCGAGTTTTCGACAACGATTTGCAGTTTCACAGCGCCTGTGGGCGGGAAATGTATGAATAATAGCTTGATCAGTTACCGCTCTGGTATCAATCATTCACGACCTAACTAAATCGCTCTCGTTATAAAGACTGCGCGACGCTATCGACGTTTTCCCACTGATTGTTTTTATGATAGCACCAAATTCCATGTTTCCATGATCGCTGCAACAAGCAGACTTCATGCAAGATATCGTGAAAAGTGAAAGGCCTATGTCAACATGGCAAAAGAAATCTGTGGTACCTCTCTTGGTAGGCCTGCATCTGATCAATGACGGACCAGCTATGTCGCCAACAAGGCCAGAGAGAATACACAGCACCGTTACGATGGACAAAACTGAGCAGGCTACGTAGGCGACCCAAGAAGTGAAGCGTAAGAACAAGATATAGGATAATCCAAAACTCCAAACCCCATAACACACCAGCATCAAGAGTCGATGCCTTCAACGGGACCTGGATTTCTCTGGTCTACAGATGGCTTTTGCCCATGCGAGGCGGCACTATCGTCTTGCGGCACGCTCGATTTCATCATCCAGCTGCCGCTCCTCTTCCTCTAATCTTCGGATCTCATCGACTGTCATACCATCTTCGACCAAGTGAGCCACGTTGGACGACATGCCCTGGGGTGTCTGAGCACCGCTGTGTGCTGCACGATCATGGGACCCGATGGATGAACGAGGCACGCCGCCAGGTGGGGGAGTTGGAGCGACACCGCGATCTCGGTCGAGGCTACCGAGGGCAACAGGCTGCATGTGGTTTTCATCTGAGTAGGGCGAGTTGGGTGAGTCGGTAGCACGGCCATGAGTTTCCTTGTCCACTGCGTATGTTTGCTGTGTGACATACTCATCGCCAGCCTTCTTGCTGCGTCGACGCCGACGAAGAAAGAACCATACCAGAGCACCGATGATGAGAAGACCGCCAATAACGGCACCAACGGCAATGCCAGCAGTTGCGCCGGTTGAGAGCCCTCCGCCGCCGCCGCCGCCACCACTGGAACTCTCTTCAGCCCCTGCAGTCGACGAAGGCGAAAGAGTGGCTGTTGCCGATGAGGATGAGGAAGTGGTGGATTCCAAAGTCTCCTGTTGGCTTTGATCCTTCTTGAGTCGGTCATTTAGTTCACTGATCTCAGTGGTGTTATCGGTATTGGTGACAGTGAAGAGTTCTGTTTTGGTGTAGCCTGAAGCTCCATCCTTCTTCCAGTCAATTTGAATGTACATCTCTTTTCCGTAGTATTTTGAGGTTCCGCCTCCAAAGTTGAGGGTCACCGAATTGTTGTCGACTGCGTTGGATAATGTATCAGTTACTGATCTTGAATATGTCACAAGGGCGTGTCGCATTCCGCGCAAAGCATACATACCATCTGTGAGTTGTCTGTTGGACTTCGCATCGCTAAATTCGACATCACCCAAAGACTCAATGTTGTCGTCGTTGATAACCTGCCATTGGACCACATCGAGCGTGGTTTTGGAGTCGGGTTTGGAAAAGCCGATGATCTTTCTGTTCTGGTCGCTATCCTTGAGCTGAAAAACATAACCGTCCTCGAAGTTTGTGGAATTGAAGACGATGACTTTGGTCTGTGACCCCGAACCTCCCACGCCCGTGTTGCCGTTGCCTGAGCCGTCAACAACACCGTCGGAGTCGCCTGTGCTGGAGGGCGATGCAAAGTTCATAATGGTGGAAGAAGGGGCATTTTGCATGTCCTTCACAACATCGCCCGTATCGTCCCGGTCAATTTGGTTGGCTATTTGTTCCATTTTGGGGTGTTGAGTTGTCTTGTCCAGCTAAATCAGCAGTTATGTGTTGGCGATTGGTGGTATATCCCGAATCAAAGAGATTCTCTTGGACCTCTCGTCCGCTTCTCGAGGGCAGTACGTTGGAGTTGAAAGTGGTCCTTTGTCAAGAATCGTTCGATTTCGTTTATACTCGTTTATACTTGTTTATCGAGTGTGGTCGATCAGTTCAGTTCAGGTCCGATTCTATTCCAAACGGCCGATTTGGTATCTTGGGACAATAAGTCCCTAGGGACAGAGAAACGAAGCAAACCGCAACACAAGCACAAGAAAAGCAAAAGCGAGGTGGTCTTATTAGAGGGTAAATTCCAATATCGTACTATAAGGTATGGTAAGACGGGGGTGAAAGATGACAGAAGCAGAGGGGACAAAGAAAACAGGTCCAACGGGAGTTCCTTCGTCTTCCCTGGTCTCATCCATTGCTGCGGCAAGCCCAAGCGTGGTTCAGCCCTGGCTTGACTGGCTTGACTGGCTTGTCTGGATGGTTGCAAATGCAGACCTGGGCGTACTCAGCCTGGCCAGCTAGGACTTCGTATAGAGGGTACTTGGAGGGTACAGCACAGTGTTTGTCCATAAGGGGCAAGCTTGACGATGGGCGGCTCCACTGCATCCCCTCCCTGGGAACAAGGTTGTTTCTACTGGGCTGAACAGCTGTGTTGGGTGCTCCATTGTTTTGTGGTAACCGTATCCGTAGGGCTCCATTCGCTGACATGAGGTCTGAAACGTTTGCTAGATACCTACGGAGTAAATGCACACATATCAGTTACCGCTCACCCCGTACATGATGTGTCTAGAGATGCGGTCAAGTTCTCTAATGCACTTAATCCTTTTACACACTGGACTCGGGCTGTCTGAGAGTTCACAGACCACCCATCAGCCCAATCACGAATTCTCTCTTCAGCTGAACTGTTAGAACAAAGGGAATGCTCCAATCCTTACCTCTTCTGGCTTGGGCCGGACTGGGGTATTGCCCAGACCCCTGAAACCTCTCGTCCCTACTGGAGACCCTTGATCCCGCCATCACAGAGCCCCGAGGCTCTGATGGAGTGCTTCTGTGTGTACGGAGTAAGCACTAAGGTATCGAATTGGAGAGGCCGAACCGTTCAAAAGAGTTGAGATTTTCAGTGGGCAAGTGTCAGAGTGATGTCGGCTTCTGTTTGTGTTCCTTGAAATACCTATGTGTGATCACCATTCATTTAACTCTCTGGCCAATCTCTGCTGTACTTGAGACATCCATCCAATCCAATGTACAAATACAGACTGTAAAACAGTGGAGAGGCGGTGCAACCCGCCCTCGGGGAGCAAGAAAACACAAGACCTTCATGTAGGGCGCCAAAATAAACTCAGTAAAAGATATCCTATACCTAAAGTAGATATTCTAAATTTTTGTAAAGTTGCCTAAGTCTTTTTGCCATTTAGGATCAAGATCTCGAGTTTTCTTTCCTCCCCTAGCCCGCTAGCTGCCCGCTACTCCAAACGTTGACTCTGCCCTATAAAACGTTGGCATCAGAAGCATCCACTCTTTGACGACGTTTCTCCAATTAGACAAGTCTACTGCGGCTGACAGGATGCCCAGGATCTGCTCGAGACACACACTGTGAGGTACAAACTGTAGACTTGTCAATCCACTAGAATTTTGGTTCGGCGCATCGTCTTACACTTATTGGTGCTGAGCCCCCGTCAGCCCCAAGATTACTTCCATCCATCGTTCCAAGGTGGACTTTCAGACCTATTGTTACTGTCAGGCAATTCGGAAGAGAGCAAGACTCTATTTCTGAGGATTTGTGAACCAAGATATCCCCAGAAGACGGACTGCCTATAACTTGTCTTGTCTTGTCTGTCTGTCAACTATTGCTTGCTGTCGTGGTAGAGCAACTCACTTATACGCGCCAACCAACCAACCTCGCTCGACCGTGATATCTCGTCGTACCACCCCAGGATCTAAGGATGAGAGTATGAAGTACCTTGCCTTGATCTCTTCTTCCACTCTAGTACGGGGTACCAACCCAACGATTGATTCTCGCCTATACTCACCTTTTGAGACACATAGGTATAACTGCACAAATTTATCCTGGCCAGAGGGTCAAACTAACGGCCAACGTTCACTCATCTCCAGGTCAGGAACTGAGAGAGTATGATGTGAGTACTTTTGGCCGACAAGGGAAATTCTGCGTCTCACTGTAAGATTAAACAACTGAAATTCAACATACCAACACTTCAGCCGCTCCCTAGCAATGCCTCACACTATACATATGTTTATCATAAGCACAAGCCTCAACCACCACCACCACCACCACCACCACTATCCATCCTACCCTGGAGACAATAAGCTGCTTTTTTTCCTTTGACAATTTCCATCCCGCACAGCCAGGAAGGCGTGGGCAATGTGGCATTCCACCCTTTCATGTTTGTTCTGTTTATAGAACTGACCATCAAAAAGTCGACGGCTGCTTGAGTGGCACACGGACCAGTAATGCAACAATGTAAAACACCAACATTAGAATTAATGATCCTCCTCTTTGACTCTCGTCCTTGTCATTGCTCATGCTTACTTCGCAAAGTGTTCTAGGTGGTACTGACTACTATGTCTTATGTGTATTTGATACTCCAGCCGATTTTGATTACTCCTTCATGAATGCAATAACATCCAAAAATCATCAAGCCTTGTTTGCGCCGGGAAAAAAGTCAAACTCAAAGTCAACGGTGCAGTCAGAGCAGAGTCCAGTCCAGTCCAGTCCAAGAGACTGAGCCCCTCCAGTCGTTCGTCTGATCCGAAACGCCAGCAACTCAAAAAGGCAACCCCAAATTACCGACTCAAGCGAATGTCATTGAAATCTCCTTCTCTTTGCCAAAATCATCATCATCTGAATCCCCCCACGGTTCATGCAATGTCATTGTTGGCAATGTCTGCGCCGTCTTCACCTGTGGCCTCGTTGCTGTCGTCTCAGTAGGTGCTACCGTTGCTGACCGCGGATGAT